GGTCGGTCCTGATGCAGTCTTTTCCTCTGTGTGTGTGACAGATGTCCGGCACAAAGACCAGATCGGTGACTCTACGTCAGACTGGGTTCCTTCAGCAGAACCGTGTGATGGCATCAGAACGGACGGCGTGACACAATGGAACAGAGAGCACATATCGATAGAGGCGGGTTGGTGCAGCCTGGCATTAGCGGTACACACTGTGGTAGGCAGTGACTGAAAGAGCCCTAATTTAAAACCCAGAGAGGCCGAGCCTCAATACAGAAATGATATAGTCGTATATCTTGAACAATATTACACTGCTGGGATCTGTCATTAAGTACAGCCTTTGAGCAGCCATTCACATGACACCCTGTCTTCAAGTTAACCTCAAGTTAAAGATCATTACTGTGATCATGAGTCTGAATGACTTGAAAGGGAAAACAAAGCGCTGGTAGGTCCGAGTTCCTACCAACTCTGAGAACGTGTAATTTGTCAATGCTGCTTTAACGAGCAGCGTCGTATGAGCTGACTTCCCTGATTGCCACAGCGGAAAACTAAACTAAACAAATATAAATATATGAACCACCAACTTTAAAACTATGGGTTTGTTTCCAGAGAGTGCCAGGTTCTGTTCTGTAGGAGACTGCCTGCTGGGTAGGTTGGATATATTTTGCTTTGAGGCAGCAGCTATAAAAGTTCGAGGCTTTTTCTCACAATTGTGCTCCAAAGTTTTGAGAGAGACCTCCTACAAATCTCTGGTTGGGCAGAGCTTCATGTCCTACTCCTTTAAGAAATAAATTAAAAAAGAGCAAGAAGAGGGAGAGAGATACACACAGGAAACATCTGGGAAGAATCAGGGCGTAGAGAGGAGACGAGAGCAGAGGAGGAGGAGGAGGATGAAGGCTCAACCACAGGTTACAGCCCGACCCAGCTCTGCACAAGACCACAAACACATATGTACTGTGTATGTGTGTCTATATATACACATCTATATATTGTATTATGTACACACACACAGTGAGCCACAACAGGCCTGATCTGGGCCGTGAACACCAGCATACAGCTTCTCAACACAGAACACTCAGTCCAGCGTTCAGTAGCTGCTCTGAGCGGAAGCTGACAGAATATTTGCATCCTTCTGGGGAGAATAATCACAAGTGACAGGAAACACACCTTCACAGAGGTCTCCTGCAGACGACTGTTCTGAACCTCATCATATCAAATCACACGTTCTGCTAAAGCCTGAAGCTGCTCACACAAACTTTCACACAGCTCTCGGCACGGTGGCGTCAGATCTGTCAGGTTCTCAATCATGCAGAAGTCCTGATAGACATCAGCCACATTTCTGCCAGTTAACTGACTGCACAGAAAGAGAAGTGAAGACAATCCTTTGTTATCAAAGCCGCGGTGGATCGGATATGGGAGCAACCACAACAAGAAGGCAAAGAAAACAACATGTGAACACACACACACACACACACACACACACACACACACACTCCCTCCTTCCTCACATGCTCTCTACACAAATAGTCCATGTACAGCAGGCTAACAATGACTTCACCAGCCTCGGCCACAGCACACACACACCGACTCTTCCTCTCTTATTTTCTCCCCATTTGGCCTCCAGAGAAACTTCCATGAGAACAACTTGCTGATGAAGTTCCCAGTAGAAGCAGCTGCAGCTCCTGTTTGCTGCAGGACTGGGAGCAGCGACTGCAGATTAAATACGACTACAGCCCGATTTCAGACCGCATCGTCCAAATGCATGATTTATTCAGAGGTTCAAATAATGTGTAAAGAAGAGAAATTAAAATGTGGACAGGCTTAGAGGAACGACAAAGAAAAAGGAGGACACGAGAGAAGAACGGCTGCTTCCAGACATCATTTACTAAAAATCTTCCCTCAAACAAACGTGTGGGTTCCATCACGGTGATCCTGTTTATTGGTGACTTACAGAAACACACAGTCTGACCTGATACAGTCAGACGTAAGCCAGCTAACAGGCCGTTCTGCTGTCGAACTGTCCTCGCCATATCTGGCTCTGGTTGTTGAGGAGGAATGAAACAGCTGAGCAACAGGACTTGGACCCTGGCGGGTCTGACACTGTAGAGGAGCAGGCGAGCAGCAGCAAGCTTCCAGCCGCAGGCTCGGTGGACAGGATAAGGCTTCTTTGTTCAAGGCTCCTCCTCCTCCTCCTCCTCAGAGAAAATGAGAAGTGGCCCTGGCTGCCTGACCTCCCCCCACACAGAGACACGGCTCACCCACACGCATGTATGGACGACACATCGCGACACACGTGTGCAGGAGCAGAAGCGGGCTGCAGCCTCCGGATCACGTCCACCACCAGCTTCAGTCAGAAACTCTGCTGGGGTGCATTTCTCACACATTTTAATCGACTTCAGAGCAAAACAATGAAAACGATTTTGTGAAAACACGAACTGCTGAGAAAAGCTCTCACACAGCCACAGTCCTAAACCCAGAGAACGGGTCGGGTCGGTTCAGAGTTTTCTTCTTCCTCCCGTGCAGCCCGAGCCTCCCCGACGTCAGCTTGTTGTGATTGGACAACAAAGGAGACCTGAGCCTCGTCTGTCAGAGCCCCGCCCACAATCTCAGGTGTCAGGTGTCCGTCTGTGTCGAAGCTCAGCCAAAGCATGACCCAACTCAAAGACAAAAGAAACCCGACATGCAGCAGCCGGCGCACAGGAAGCTGCCGTCTGAGCAGAAAGAGAACTTTTAGAGAAGAGGAGCACCATCAGCCAGCCATCAGACAGAACGGACCGATACCATCTCTGGACATGTCAACGGCCTGTTCATGTGACATGGGTCCATTTCTGGATTTCTGTCAAGCTGTTCCCAACAACGAAGCCCACCTCTGTAAAAGCAGGCCTCGCCACTGCCCCTACGACTGACGAATGAGCTGAATGAAATGGAAAGCTGATATGGCTGAAGTGCTCTACCCTGTTTTCAGTGGAGGGTGCTCCTACCTGCTATTTTTAGGCCAACCTTTCCTGTAACAACAACCATCTTTCTCCATTTGGGTGTAATCACTGTTTTTTGGAGGCAGAACAGCTCAAACCAGGAGGAAACCTTCAGAGGCTGACTACAGGTTTCTACAAGCTGTCCAACAGTTACCTCTGCCAGGGAAAGAATGCCCTCAGAGAAACCTCAAATTAAATGAGTAAAAAAAGACACTGAGGACGGCCTGAAGGGAAAAAGGCTTCCAGGATCAAAGATATCTTTGTGAGTTAGAAAGCTCTGCTTTGTCTTCAAGCTGCAGCAAAGTCAACCGGCGATGGAGTTGTGTTGGGTGAAGTCTAACCTCCAGCACCAAGAGTCAAATGACTGCAAGGTCATAATTCTAATGAAGATTAAATGAAGGGATTATGGCTCACGTCTAGGAAACGACCACGGTTCACTGAGCAGGCTGGAAAGCCTGAAACATCACAGACTTCATCTGTTTCAGGACGCAGCTCTAAACCCAACGGTGGCATGTAGGAGCTGTGGCGACGAGTTGTGACATCGACTGAAAGCTGATAGGACAATGAGTCCTATTGTGCTCTGGCAGACACACTCACCAAATAAAATCCAACTTGTGATACACAAGTGGGAGCATTTGCTTATCAATGCATGCAGAAGTTAACCGCATGGTGCATATATAACGGCTCCGACGGAGAGAAAAACAACGGAGACAACAGAACAATATTCCAAGTGCAAGATGGATTTACTGCCTGCTCTCACCGCAGAGTATAATGTTAATTCTCCCACCACTGACACATCCATAACAAAAAACAAGATGACTCTGCACAAATGTCAAGGCGCACAAACTAATCCTTTGTTATGTGAGCCCAGATGGTCACAAGATGAAGGAACAAAGACCCTTCCCCCTGTGCCACCAGAACAGCTTCACTGAGAAGTGCGACGCCTACCTGTAAGCCCATACATCCCTGGCAGGCCACACAGGCTACTGAACATCACACAACTTTAGCAGTTCTTTAGTTTTGTGGAGCCTCACTGAGTAAAAGCCCTGAAGCCACTCTGGAAAACCTCTTCCATTATGCTGCTCAGTGGCTTCCCCGGTACTCACTACATATATAATGGTGGTGTGACTGCAGTGCAGATCAACTGTGATGGAACCACTCAGCATCTGATGGCTGGCAGGGCAGTGGACTACACCACAGGAGGCCCTGGAGAATCCTCCGTGGACATGCAGACTGTTCAGCTCTGGTCCACCACTGCAGTCCATGAATAAAAGGGGAAACTACTGTTGCACATGTTTCGATCCATGCTGAGCGCTGACAGGAAGCTTCCTGTTTGTGTCCATCTATGACACCGTGTTCACTGACTTACATGTGTGATGTGCATCCCAGCGTCATAAACACAGCCAGGAATCATGCTTCCAGCTCCCAGTCCACCCAGCAGATCGTCTACAGTGGTCAACCGTCACCTTTAAGCATCATGTGGGATGAAAGCAGTTCACACGACTGGTCATTTCTCTGTGTGGTGAGAACTACCTACCACCTCACCGACTGGCTGCAATAAATAGCCATGGCTGCAGTCCCATGACTGACTCAGTCATGACTGGGTCTGACTCCACTGCCCCCAGTCTTAGCAGTCTTTCACCACCAACCAGCACTCCAGAATCTCCAGAATCTCTGGAATCTCTGGAAGCGGGAATGTGGGAACGACGTGAGTAATCTCTCCGTTGCACAGTCGCTATTTCCAAGCTCCCCAAGATCTGGAGTTACACGCTGCTTATAGCCACAAAACTCCAAACTGGGACTTGTGAGACAGCCCGGCTGCACAGCTGCACACGGCCAACAGAACCACAACGGACTTCTGTTCAACCCACTGAGTTTTGTTGGTATTTATTTGGTGTACGTTAAAGAGAGAGGGACAGACGGACAGGAGAGACGATGGAGGAAAACTGGAAGTTCACACTTTCTGATGAGCATCTCAGGAGGTGAACATCTAAGAAGGACCTTCATGCTCCTTAACAGCGTCGCTCTACTTCTACTCACAGCTGTGCAGCAAACAGTCGACTCATCTTGGCCACGTGCTCGTTGTCGTCCATGTCGCTGTCCCCCTGGTCCCCACTCAGCTTCCTCTTGGTGGGGCTGATGGGAGGAGGACCTGTCCTGTGGCTGGAGATGGAGGAGGACGATGAGGAGGATGACGATGAAGAGGAAGAGGAGGAAGACGAGGATAGGGACAGGGACTGGAGTCTGGGGTCCCCTCTCAGAGCTGCTTCGCCTGAAGAGGAAAGACAGAAACGTTGATGAGCCTCTAGTCCGAAGCATGAGAACAAAGAAGTCCACACGAGACCAGCTGACTCCAGCTGTACACCAACTGTGACCGAGTGAAAGGAGATGACGTGAAGCTCCGGCACAACAAAAACAAACTGCTATCAGGCAACATGAGGTTAGCAAACCAGCAGATGACCATACTTTTGGTATTCTATGAACGACTGAGGATGAGGTGACGGGCTAACCCTGACCCGTCCGCTAGCAGCACACACTTCTTGCCTGACCTGAAGATACATGGAAATTATGATGAGTAGTCGAAATTACAGTCGTTTTAAGGAGAAGGTAACTGTATGGCCACTCTAAACAAGCTGGCCACAGAAAGGGCTTCATGACGGTGTTCTACTGTACGGCTGTGCTCGGATCTGTTGACTGTACAGTTTGCTGAGAGAGGCACAAACCTCTGGCAGCCGGAGGAGGATCTGGTCAGGAATGTTTTGGAAGAAATAGTTGAGGATGGATTCTGTGTGTGTGTGTGTGTGTGTGTGTGTGTGTGTGTGTGTGTGTGAGAAGCCGTCCCCTCGGCGGCCCTGTCCTGATACACAGAGGGCCTACAGAGTTGTCAGTGAGTGGGAGTGAAAGCGAGAGAGAATCAGGAAAACTACCGCTGGCTCTGCCCCGGCTCGGGGACTTTCCACTGCTCGGCCTCATGTGTCCGTCTGTTCCCAAACAAACCCTGAGCCAGACTACAACTCTCACTCCGACTTGCAGCTTTCTCCAGAACTACTCACTTGCTAAGAAACTAGCTGGTTGCTAACGCTGGGCATGAAAGCGGTTGATGCAGCGTACAGCACCAAGCAGGTTAAAACTCAGCGTCGGTTATGTTTTGGAGAATTATATCTAGCTTGTATTTGTGCTGTTCAATCAACAGAAACCAACACAAGTGCAGACTAGCGGACAGATGTGGGCATTTAAACTCCTGTCAGATACGTTTACAATTATTCTGCTCATCTTTTGGTAGAAAACAAATCCGGGAAACGTATGAACTCATCTGAAGACAGTCATTCAAAGCAGCGACAGACTTCGTCACGTCACAGAACAGCGACTCCTCGACCTGTATTTAGCTTTAGCTTTAGCAGCAGCTCCTCTCTCTCTCTGGCATGTTCCTGCTCGCCCCACCGTGCGCCATGGCAACAAGGGTGACATCATTGTTTTGGCAGGGCAGAGGGACGGCACTAAGAGGGCGACTGACAGCACGCTGTCCAATCAGGACACACGAAGGCTTATCAGTTCTGCAAACGGCTGAATCCGTGAGTGTTTCCCTGCAAACAAGTCCGACATTCACACACTGCTGACCAGCTCCTGGCCAGCGCCGCGGCAACGCCGTGCTCAGCTGATCCCAACAAAACCAACTAACGAGTGGCGCTCTGGGATAAACTCATACGTTCAGCTTCTGTCAACAGCAACAGATCCGTCAACCAAAGTCAAGAAAACTAAACACTGACTTTGTGACTGTAAAATCAGTGACAGCTTATAAACTACAGCAGAGCGAGCAGCTTCACTTCCACGTCGAACTCGTGTCGGCACGCCACCTCCACAAATGGACAGAAGACAGAAGAACACGGCGAAAAGCACCAATTGGTGCAATTTTCTGCAATTTACTCTCAAATCAAAAGACAGGAGAACAAGGAAAGCCCTGACATGACGACACGGTGGGTAGAAGAGGACGTTACAGCTCATACGTTACACGTCAGGTTTACAGGCCAGCATCTGCAGAGAAAACCCGGATTACTGAGTCTGTGTTTCAATAAACCAGCAGACAATCAGTGGGAAGAGTGCAGCGCCACAAAGGCAGAACTCTGCTGTCTTTTCCCCTCTCTGCTCTCAGTTCATTAGGTCCACATGATCAAAGCTGTTCTCCTGATAGAACTTCAAACAGGATGAGATTGGATTACAAACCGAGGTGAACCTCTCTCTCTGCATTTACATTTCACTCTTGTGATACTTAAAAAAGATGAGTCCTAGCATGTCTTCTCTTTGCAAAACAGCAAAGCAGTTATTTCTGGCTGAGTTTCCAGTAACCTGAACTTGGCCCTCTGGGCTGCCTTCATTATCTCAGTCCACAGAGGTTTGATGTGTTCAAAAAGAAAGTTTTTCCACAGAAGTGCTTGTTCGTACGAGCTGAACTTCTAAACCCAACCTTACAGTGGTTTGATCTCTGAAGGGGGAGCAGGACAGACAGACGGACAAAAGAGGCGGAGGTTGACAGAAGTACGAGGCTTTGAGGAGGTTTCCAGCCGCCTTTATTCTCTCCTGCTCAGCAGCAAAGAGAGAAGGTCAGCGTTCCCCTGCAGGCCTGCAGCCAGGCTACAGCTGATAGCAGCGAACAGAGCAAGACAGGGACAGGGACAGGGACGGGTTAGGGTTAGCAGGGTTAGCAGGGTTAG